GGGGATAAGAATTCAGAGATTTTCTGTTGGCATTACGACGTGAAACCGGATGGAAATGTCGATCCCAGTAAGGATATCCAGGGAGAGTTGAAGCGTAAGGTAAATAAAATTTTGTGCATATTTTACTTTCACGTACAGTAGTTGAGCTGAACTAATTTTACACCTTGATAGAATGTCTTAATTCAACGCCATACGTTAGAAGAAACAGCAGGACATTTCAATATTACATCAGATCAGCTGAAAGAAACTCTTTCAGAATCTCTGAAGGAGCTTGCAAAATATCGGGTTGAAAAAAGACCTAAACCACATCGTGACGATAAAATTTTGGCAGCATGGAATGGTTTGTTGATTCATTATAAAATCTTATTTTTGATAATTAACAATATCCTAATTTTGTTATCGTGTCTATTTTCATAGGCTTGATGATTACTGGCCTTGCTAGGGCTTACGACTCGCTACGTGATAAAAAATTTTTGGATCTTGCAGAAAGTGCAGCAAAATTTTTGAAAGAAAAAATGTATATTCTTGAGAAGAAAGTTTTGTTAAGAAGCTTTAGAGAAGGTCCTGGTGATGTTGAAGGATTTGTTGATGATTACAGGTGAGGTGAAAATTTCTTTATCAATATTAGTATTATTGTCATAATTTTTAAAGTTGGTTTTGTTATTCTTTAGTTACCTGATCGAAGGTATTATGTTTGTTTATAATTCATATGATTTAAGAGACTAATATATGTACTCATATTCGCGCACAATTTTATTTTTTATATTAGGATTGATACACCTTTATCAATCTTCTTCTAATGAATCGTATCTTTCATGGGCTATTGATTTGCAAGATCGACAAAATCAATTATTTTATGATGAACAATCTGGAGGGTATTATAATGTTAAAGAAGGTACCAAAGACATATTATTGAGACTGAAGGATGGTAAGTTTTCAATCTTTTTTTCATGTGTTAATTTTTACCATCAAAACATGATGATTGACGCGTTACTTTTTGTGTAACTGAAGATCACGATGGCGCAGAGCCTTCAGCGAATTCTGTCTCGGTTAGCAACTTAATTTTGCTTGGTAACATTGCTAATAGCCTTGATTATAACGCTAAAGCTGAACAGACATTGAAATATTTTGCGGGGAGATTAAACTCAATTCCATATTCAATGTCTGCAATGGTTGCCAGTTTGATGTTACATATAAAAGGCGTTAAGCAGGTATGTGACGCGCTTTTGAATTATACAGTGTATGTGTAACTGGCATCTTATCAATTATGCTCATATTTACAGATAATGGTTGTGGTGTTTCAAGTAAGTAATAAAATAAGTTCTGTTATGAATATTTATATACACACATTAAATTTAAAAAAAATTTTTGGATGAAATTGAAGCATCTGTTGCCAAAATACAGTATACTTATAAAAGTATATCGAGGTACCAGATCAATTATATTTAATGAAAGTGAAGAACCCATCGAGAATGCTGAAGGATTACAATCAATATAGAACATATATATATGCACACACATATAATGTGAAGGATCTTTAAGATGTTGAATATTTATTTGTATTAATTATTATCGGCTACATTTTATCAGTTGTCCCAGAATTTGAGAAAAATTGTAAATTTTTTACCAGTTGTCTCGGGATCTATGAGAACAGCTGTAATAGCGATAGGTTTTTTTTGATACGGCATTGCCTTAATCAACTCGCCACATATATTTATGAACGAATAATAACATACATCTTCTAAGAAGGTATATGGTCATTATGCAGACTTCAAATCATTTTCTTATTAAATAATTAAATAATTATTTTGATGTTTAAATAATTTTTTTGGAAAAAAAAAACAAAACGCATAATCCACAAGATATTAAATTATTTTTTTTCAATATTTCAATTTATCCACCAACTCTTCAACGTTGCTAATTGGCATACCGCAAGTGAAATTCTCACATATGTGCACCGATGGAACATTATCTTCGGTTTCTTGTGCAAACTCGCCTTCTACTATAGCTTTTACCATTTCATTTTTTTCCAGTAGGAATTCATTCTCGGGTTTTGCTA